TAAAGTGTGTTAAATACTATTGTCTTTTACTGCTGTTCTTGTTTTTTGGCAAAAAAAAAAATTTGGCAAAAGTATAACTTTTTAAATCTGTTTTTTATCTGTCACTCATTTCTTATGTGGATAACTTGCAGTAAGCTGGCGCTATGTCCGTATAAAATAAAAATGGGAGAACTCCAGCTGTTACCGAAAAGACAACTATTTAAACCATAAAGTTAAATTTATTTTTAACAGACAGCGCAACATTAGTGATTAAATACTAATCATTTAAGTTTGAACCTATAATCTAAATATTAATGTAACAAAGTAGTATTAAACACGATTAGAAACAGCAAAATTTTAACTTATTGTGTGATCTTTTATATATGATGATCAACTCTTCTAGATCTACCCATATATAAAGTCTTCTGCTTTTTCACTTCAGTTTTTTTTTAACTAAACCTCAACCAACAGAGCATAAATCAAATGGTAAATCAGGCAGTAAGCATCTATTGGATAAAGTAAAATATAGATCCTTCTTAACATTAGTTGTTGCTGATCTTCATGCCATCTTCTCTTATATATTTCAGATTGTATAGTGACAATTTAGAGTTATCAATTAGATTAACGTGCACATTTTTGGTCTTTGGGAAGAAACCGGAGTACTGGGGGGGGGGGGGGGGGGGCGATGTACGCATGCACAGAGAGAACATGCAAACTCCACCCAGAAAGGCCCCCAGCCAGGAACTGAACCAGGGCGACCTGCTTGCTGAGAGGCAGCAGCTCTACCAACTGTGCCACCGTGCTCCCTTGCATAGACATTTAAAATGTAAAACCCATGCAAGTTACATGCATGGAGTAAGCTGTTGGGGGAAGAATCAGTTTTGTGTTGTGTGTTTCCTTGACTGATGAAGCCTTCTGGATCGAAGGCGAAATGTTTCAGCACAAAAAAAGAAACTGTCCAGATGACCCGATTGAAAAATGTTGGATTGTATACCTGGATTATTGAGCATGGACTTTGTCATGCAAGTTACAGTTTTGCTTTCTGTCTTTTTTTTTTTGGACTGTCATCACAAATTTGGTTTCTATAAAGTTGACCAATAAGAAAATAAGCTTTACAGTAAAAGTTTTAACATGGCAGGATTCCTAAAACACACACATTTGTTGTAGTATGGCTGAAACAGGTTGTTTAAAAGTGGTAGTCTCTTGTATTTCAGAGAAAAATTGTGAAACTTTGAAAACACAATTAGGCATGGTGAAGCAGTGGGTTGAGCTGCCACCTCTCAGCAAAAAGGGTGCCCAATATAATCTTGACAGAGGGCCTTTCTAGATGGAGTTTGCATGTTTTCTCTGTGTATGAGTAGGCTTTCTTCATATAATCCGGTTTCCTCCCAATGATCAAATGTATTTGTTAGGCTAAATGGTAACTCTACATTGTGCCTAGGTGTGAGTGATAGAGTGAATGGCTCACCTGTGATAGAGTTGTGACCGGTCCAGGGGACACCCTACGTCTCGCACAGGAACGGCTGAATATGGGCATCAGCTACGCTCACAACCCAGAAAGGAAGACATGAGACGTGGGTAAATATGGATGGATGGACGTAAAACACAAAGAAAAAATTCTGTCTTTTAGAAAACAAACAAAAATAAATAAATGTCTAGATGTTTCTTTGTAATTTATAGGTTTGTTGAACTTTTATAGTTAAATGGAAAAGTTAAAAGTAAGCATTTTTATTTAATCTTCAGAAAATTTTTAGCGAAATTGAAGAGTTACATTATGGTCCAAACTTCATAAAGATTTTAAAACTTTCAGTTAACTGGCATGATTAACAAACGAGAAAATGCAAGTGACATTTTAGTCTTTCATAAAAACAGGTCAAAATGATTTATTTATAATATTTGTAGGCCTATTATGACCCCCTAGTGTGACATTATGTCATGGTTTTTATGAATATTTGGCTTTTCTCCTTCTTTTATCAACATTTCAAAGCACAATGCTTCAAAGAGAGAAGTCAGTCAGGGACATAAGGCTTTTACAGAAAATATGTTATGTAAAATAGCTCAGGTGAAGTCAGGCATTCACCTTAATGTGCTATCCAACAAAGGACCACATTCTGAATTACCCCACAGCATACTTTTAAAATGATTCACGTTTGCTTTTTTTTGAGAAAATAATTTTAGGCATCAAAGTGAGAAAATGTTTTTTTTAAAGCAAGCCTTGAATAAGAATACTCACAAAATACCTCTCCTCACCACTGACAGCAGGGTTTTGGTGTGTATTATAAAACCAGAGAAAGGAATTCTAACCCCTGGGTCGACCATCTAAAGTCTCACAACACATGTTGCTGCAAGTAAAGATATTGTGTGACTGAAGGCTAAAATATCTCTTAAAGAACAAACACTTAAAAATACTTTTTCATATACTGTATTTATTATAAAAAAAAACAGCTAACATTTTCTATTCATAAATGTTGCACATATTAGGACAGCCACCATTTTTCTGTGTTTAGAGATGACTCCTAACTTGTGCTCCAAAGGGTGATGGGAGTCAAACTGCAAATACTGGTCTGTGTGGGTGGGTTTGCGGTACACCTCGGTTTGCAAATGTCCTCTATCAGAGACTGAGACCTCACAGTCCAAGAAAGCCAACCTGCCATTTTTTACATCTTCTCGTGTGAACTTGATGTATTTATGCTCAGAGTTGATGTGGTCAGTAAAATGTTGGACTTCCTGAGATTTAATTTTAACCCAGGTGTCGTCAACATACCTGAACCAATGACTTGGTGGTGTCCCTGAAAAGGA